ACCGTGGAGAGCATCACCTGTTACCAAGTAACACATGGATTTAGGGTGGCCAAATCTTCTAACTTTTCAAAAGAAGTTGGAAATATAGATCTAAAAAAAAAGTATTAATTTTTCAGAGCAGTTTTAGGTTTACAGAAAAATTGCTCAAAATAACTCAGAGTTTCCATATAACCTCTCCCTACTGCCTAAACTCCCCTGTAATTAACATCTTTCATGAGTGAGGTACATTTATTAGTAATATTAATTACATTAACTAATAACATTAGTTACATTAGGATTCACTCTGTGTTCTACTGGTTTTATAGCTTTGGACAAATGCATAATATCTGGCATCTACTATTATACAGGATCATACAGAGTGGTATCACTGCCCTAAAAATGCCCAGTGTTCCACCTTTGCACCCTTCCTCCCCACTCATCTTTTTACTGACTCTATAGTTTTGTCTTTTCCGGAATGTCGTATAGTTGGTATCATACCACACACTATGGCATTTCACAGTGCCTTCTTTCACTTAGTAATCTTTCACTTCATAGCTCTCTTCTTTTTATCACTGGATTATATTCCATTGTCTGGATGTACCACAGTTTGTTTATCCATTCACCTACTGAGGAACGTCTTGTTTGCTTCCAAGTTTTGGCAATAACAAATAAAGCTGCTATAAGTATCTGTGGGCAGATTTTTGTGTGAACTTAAGTTTTCAACTCATTTGAGTGAACACCTATGAGTATGACTGCTGGACTGCGTTGTATGAGAAATCTATGTTTAGCTTCGTAGGAAACTGCCTAATTGTCTTTCAAAAGGGGGGGGTCTCGTTTTGCATTCCCACCAGCAATGCATGAGAGTTCCTGTTGCTCCACACCCTTCCAACACTTGGTGTTGTCACTGTTTTTGATTTAATAGGTGCACAGAGATATCTCATTGTTTTAATTTGCAATTCCCTAATGACATAAGATGTTGAGCATCTTTTCATATGCTTATTTGCATCTAAATGTCTTCCTTGGTGAGGTGACTGCCCAGATCTTTTCCCCAGTTTTTAATTGGGTTGTTTACATATTATTGGATTTTAAGAGTTCTTTGTATATTTTGGATACTGATCTTTTATCAGATACGTGTTTTGTAAATATTTTCTCCTACTCTGGGCTTGGCTTTTCTTTCTCTTAATAGTGTCTTTCATAGAGCACAAGTTTTTTTTTTTTCATAGAGTTTATTTTTATTTTTTATTGTTATGTTAATCCCCATACATTACATCATTAGTTTTAGATGTAGTGTTCCATGATTCATTGTTTGTGCCTAACACCCAGTCATAGAGCACAAGTTTTTACCCTTAATGAAGTTCAACTTACAAATTTTTTCTTTCATGGATCATGTACCTAGTCATTGCCAAACCCAAGGTCACCTAGATTTTCTCTTATGTCATCTTCTAGAAATTTCAGTTTTGCATTTTACATTTCAGTCTAGGATCCATTTTGAGTTAATTTTTTGAAAGGTGTCAAATCCATATCTAGATTTTTATTTGCATGTGAATGTCTAGTTGTTTCAGCACAAAAAGTTGGTTTATACTTTAAAAGGGGGGGGAGCACCTAGCTGGCTCAGTTGGGCTCGAACTCACAACCCCAAGATAAATAATTTAATGCTTAAATAAATAAATAAATAAATGTTGGTTTGTTATTCATTTTTTTTGGTGGTAGTGGTAGGGAAGGAAGGAAGCTCCCCCTCTACCAACACACATGTCTGTAGGCTGTTTTTCTCCATCCTGGATCATCTTTGCCTCCCTCATCCCCCTTACCTGCAATGAACTTCATCCATCCGTATTAATCTATTTAATCTTACTTAACACCAACCTCACACTTTCACTATCCACTTTTTCCAATATTCTGACTGGTACTCAACATGATCAGTTAATAGCTGGTGAACTCTAAAACCACTTATGAGCTATAAATCCCATTTAGCACTGCCATATACCACTGTCCTTCCTCCTTAGCCAGACTGTAAACTCTTGGCGAGGCCAGGAATCCTCCTGTTCTCATTTACCCCTGGTAGCTTAGCAGAGGTCTGGGCACAAAATATGTCAGCAATAGTTGCTGACAATTTTAGACTACCTGGACTTTGGTCCTGACTTACCAAGTGTCCTTTGATCTTCAAGAGGGATGGCTATGCTTTAGGAAGTCCAGCTGAGGACCTGCCAAAGGTGTAAACTCTGCAACCTTGCCCTGACATGGCCAGAATGGTGCATCTCTAATTTTGATGCCCAATTTAGCGTTATGCCCACACAAACAAGAGGGCCCTGATCTCCTTGGAGAATTAGGAAAGATTTACCAATGAGACAGCAAAATGTGGTCTCTAAAGTGCTAAAGGATGCTGAGTCACAAAGCATGTTCCTTTCATTATGATGGTTACATGGCCATAATGACCGTTCCAGTCATTACGAAAACAATGAAAAACGAATGAAATAAAAAGGAGAATGGACAGTTTCTGATGACTGGCTCCCCACCTCATGCCTAATTAATAATCCAAGTAATGGTTATCCCCCACCCTCTGATTTTGTTTTCTGTTTTCATCTGCATCATTAAGTGTTCCCATTCAAGGATCTCTGTGTACTTCAAAGTGAACAATGATGGAGGGAATGAAAGGGTCTCGAACTGAGGTTGGGGCCAGTGGTCTCCGTGGTTGTGACTGAACCCAATCTCCACGACATACTGTGCTGACAGACTTCTCAGAATTGGTTTTCTCCAGGAAAGTACTGTGGCTTCTATTTGCCAGGATCACCTAGCTTCTGTCTATGGCCCACCCAAGCAAACAGCAGGCAGAAAAAACAAGGGAGGCCCAAACTCGGATATGGCACATTCACGGCCCTGGGTTTCCAAAACAGGCAGCGAAGCTTCCGCAGAGCTCGAGGGGCCTTCGGGGTGGGCCTCAGGGTGGCTGAGGCAAACTCTGCAGTCAGCGTGGGCAGCTGCACTGCCTCTGCCTCAGGAACAGCCTGGAGCCAAAGACTCACAGGCGCCAGTCAGGTGTTCACTCAGCCTGGAAGGGCAGCAGACTTGTTGGCAACATCCACAATCCTACCTCCAACTTTCCTTGAAAGTCAAACAAAGTACAACTGTTCCTGACATCACTCTTCCTGCCCTGGGAAAGCCCCCAAATTTTGTAGCAGGCAAGCAACGGTCCCCATGGATGGTGTAAAGTGGGCCGAGTGACCCCCAGTGTTTTATGTAAAACAAATCACATCTAGACAACTGAAAAATAGAAATCTCAAGTCCCCTCCCCTAGGACCTGTTTAAAAGACATTGCCCCCTTTTACCACTTAGCCGCCAAAGCAGCCTCTTTAGACATACCATACTCAGTGGTGACTCAGGGGGCTCCCAGCTGCTAAAAACAAAGATTAAAGAGGGGCGCCTGGGTGGCTCGGTTAAGCATCTGCCTTCGGCTCGGGTCACGATCCCAGGGGCCTGGGATTGAGCCCCACATTGGGCTCCTTGATCAGCGGGGAGACTGCATCTCCCTCGGCCCCTCCCCTGCTCTTTCTCTCTCTCTTGCTCACTTCTTCTCTCTAAAATAAATAAATAAAATCTTAAAAAAAAAAACCTCACAAAGATTAAAGACCATTAAATGATACTGCTTGCTAAGATCAGGGACAGTAAGCAACCTGGGCTAGAAATTCAACCTTGCTCATGCTGAGCAACAAATGACAGGTACAGAAGTTTAAACAAAATGGGGGATAAAAAAAGAGATAAAAAAGAAACCAGAATCTCCTTCAAGTCTAGGAAAGCAGATATAGGAGTGCTTAACAAGCCAGGCAGCGAGGGATGGAGACTCCACAGGCAAGTCTGGCCATGGAGAAGCAGAAGAGACTCACTGCCCTTAAGCTGAATGAGTTTTCCCAGTACATGATTTCATTTTATGCTACTGTTTCGTTTGCAGTAAAAGTATTCCTTAAGTCCATTTTAGAGTCTTTCTCCCCCTGAGCCTTAATATCCCTTAGTCTCTTCTAAGGCAAAAATTGTTGGTCCCATTTTGCAGATCCACAAATATCTTAAAGAGATAGAATGGCAGGGTGTGACCGTGTAACCACGGCCCGGAGATGGGCAGGAAAAGGTTCTGATATCCTGGTGTCTCACCAGGTGAAATGAGTGCCCTGAAGACAATCTGTGGCTGAACTTCGAACTGTTTTCACTAGAGAAAGGCAAAGTCAACTCTGTTCTTCCCGAGTTTTATCCAACCGCAGCCTGAGAGTCCAGCTGTTCTGGTCATGGCCTCACATACTTTCTGCAGAGGCTCTAGTTGACAAGATTTATGCGGTGGTCTGAAGAAGCACGCTAAGCAGTGTGGGAGGAAACCACAAGGGAGGACTTTCTGGCCCTGGCACAGTGGATATCTAGTTTCTGTGGAGGACCGGACAAGCAGCTCTAAAACTGCCTGTCTCGGTTATGGGTGCTTACCACCCAAGGGTGAAGCAACAAAGGTTCTTCTTTTTCCTAGTCTCTGGTATGTCATCACAGTCATGCTAAGGGTTGAGGATCTCAACACTGGAAGGGCTACTGGAGGGCTTTTCTTTCTAGAAGTGGACAAAGAAGTGGCACTGGACATATTCTACATCATCAGGGAGAAAGGAAACCAGGACAACATAAATGAGTGAAACAGACTTGGCTACTGATCCACTGAGTTGCTACAGTGTCTGGATGTTTTATAAAACTAAAAGAAATCGCTTTTCATGCCCAGCAGCCAGCACAGTCAATAGCCATCACCAAAGCCATCTCAGCAGGAGGATAAATCAAAGATCACCAAGGCCAAGAAGCAGTATGTTAAGAATAATGATTCCCTTCTGAGATGATGATGCTCAAAAAATCCACAACAAACTAGCCAAGCTCCACATTTAGGAAGAAGGTTAAAATCACGTTCATGGGACAATGCTCAAAGTCAGATGGGGCCAGAGCATAAATTCCAGGCGGGATAGCTGAGCAAGGGCCTACTGTGGAAGGCAGTTGGACATCATACTTACAGTGAGTTGGGCCGGGTGGGTTTGAGCACATCCAGGTCCGGGTCACTGGAGTTCATGTTGGGCTGCAAGCTGCTGCTGGAATTAAGGATGCTATTTGCATTTGATGAGACGACAGATTCCAAACTGGAGTTGATGATGCTGTTTCTTTGTTCCTCTGGAGAAAAACAAGGTGACAAACCCCATATTACTACTATTTCATAAAGATAGTTTGTTTCGACATATACAAAAACCTACCAATAATGAGAATGGATTGAGACCTCAGCAAAGCTCAGAAGACATAGGAAAGGATAAGGTTTACAGGTGGGAAAGGAAGAGGAAAGGAAGAGGAACAGGTGACTTGTGACTTTGGAGAAAACCCCCCTCTGCTCAGCCTGATAGGACAGACCAGCCATTTTCCTAAGAGTGACCCTACCACTGCACCATAAATTGTGTGTCTTCTTTTGACTGGTAGATGGGCAGAACACAGAGCGGCCTTCATAGCGCCCTTGTATTCAATTAGGTCCTCTTGGTTTCTGTGACATTCACCTTTTATTCTAAAACTCCTGCCCCCAATATGGTCTTAATTGCGAGGGCCATGTCCTACCTCCAATTCTATAGCACTTCACCATAAAATATCTACTATTTACTTGGTCATCAACATCCTTATGACTGCAGTCTACATTCCTGACCACTCCCAAGACAAACCCTCCTGCGTTGCCTCCAGCTCCATGTATTTGATGTCTAGCTTCAAGTCAGTTCTTTAATTAATAGATCTATAAGGGCTACAGAGTCGTCTGCATATAAAAAACTGAGTCCATGGTCCACGCAGTCATATTAGTGCTTGGAGAGTATTACTAATCCCAGAGGGAGGAAACCTGAGTTCTTTTCAAGACTCCACCCCTGCCTGGCTGAGTGGCCTCAGGCAATTTTCACTCTGTTTCTTGGCTAATGCATCTGTAAAATGGGGATAATGAAAACTGCCTTGCACAGCTCAAGGAGTTCATAAGGATCAAGTGGGATCATATGCAAGAATGCATTTTGTAAACTTCAGAACACTGTTTGAAGATAAGAACTTTCTGTTTCTTCCCATCTTTAAAAACTTGGAACCGTGTGCTGAAGAAAACATTTTTGGGATAAATCAGCTAAATGGCAAAGGCACCACTGCTGGAGCAAAATATCAGAGTCCCGGAATGTCATTCTCATCCCACATTCATTACAGATACACCATAATGAAATCAGCTGATGCTGCAGGCAGTCAATTCACTTATCAGGAAACAGCCTACGTGGATTAATCCTCACTGGACCTTTGAAACAAGCTGGAGGTATACCATGTCCCTAAGAAGACAGACTGGACTCACTGACATGGTGGTTTAGAGTCTGGCATTTGAACTCTTCAAGCAGTAAAGGGGGTGATGTGATAAAAAAATACTTTTCCATTTATACTAGTCATGTGCATAAAAATTTATCATGCTTATGAGATGATGTTAGAGTAATCTTTACATTTAATACACACACACTCATTCACACACACACACACACACACACACACACCCCCAAACACTCAAACACTCAAACACCCCTAATATCTTGACAAATTCTCAATGCCATGTTTAAAACCCTGCAGAAGAGTAAAAAACTCCATGAGGCTATTGGGAGATTTCTGAACTCTAAGTAGATTTTGAAAAAAGTAGATTATTAACTTGATTCCTGAGATTTGAAACTATTCATATCTCAAGAGCTTAAGTTCCAAACAGAAACAACAACAAAGAAAGAGAAACCAAAAGAGTTACAATGCACTCAGATATAGAAGAACTAACAGGGACTTTGAATGGGAACTTGCTATCAGGAAGAAAACCAACTCTAAAATTACATAATTAGGGGATCACTGAGAAAATGGATATGCCACTTACCAGTATGAATCAGTGCAAACTTCCCTTTGCACAAAATACTCATGTTGAGATTTCTGAAAATGACTGAGAAGCCCAAGACCAACATATAGAAAAGGGCACTCAACACACTTCTCTGGGGTTCAATGAAGATAATTTCTGCTTCACAGGGAAGGAGAGGTGAATAGTTTTATTAACTCTAGTTTGAGGCCAACTTTGCATGATGTAATTTTCTGGATTCACAGGAAACCAAAGAGTATAACCATAGCTCATATTTCTCCTGTGATTATATTTACTTGCCCTTAAGAGGACTATGATTCTATAAATTAAAAACAATACCTTGCTAAAAACATATTAGTTTTTCTAAAATATTATTGGGACTTTTTTTCCTGCCTTACGATCCATTAGAAAAAGAGTATCTGAGATGGAATTTTCTTCAATTTTCATCTATTCAGTGAATACTTATTGGGAACACATTCCCAGATAATGAACACCCCTACACTAATTCCTAGGTATTTTATTCAGATGTATACTAGAATATTTATTAGTAACTTGCATATACTTATTTGATCACATGTCTACCTTCCTCGGTAGACTAGGAGCAACCTAAGATTGAACATGTGACAGATAAAGCTTTGAAATCATAACTGAAAAAAAAACAGATAAAGATGCTTTCCTTTATATAACACTTTATCAGAATCCTAACCTCATATAAGAATCTGATTCTATAAATGGGATTTGGGTAAAATTTTTGAGAACTTATCTTCTGTTACAGTATTACAGACTGGCTTTTCTCCATGAGCTAAGCAAGGAACACTGCTGCATATGGAAACTGACATTTGTCTTAGATGAACCCACACGAGAATGAGGATGGGGTGGACAATGAGAATCCAACCCTGCCTGGCCTAGAAAAGCCACAAAAATTAAATGGGTGGCAACCCCCAAACTGAAGTCGAGGATTTCTAGTATTTCATTCAGTGGAGGTCACTAGAACTCTTTTTTAGGAAGTAAATCCTTTTTGAGATTCTATTTTGACTTGTATTTAGGTACTGTGAGCCCTGCACATATGGCAAAACCTCTAACAAAATGACAACAAGAGCAAAAGATCAAGAAAAGGTGTCCTTTGTCCAAAAAGAAAATACAGAAAAAAATTAATCATAAAATTTCATAGTTTTGCAGTCAAGATAGCCAAATACGCATCTAAACAGTCAGACTCTACCAGTATGCCTCGATGGGCCACATGATAAGGAATTCTGGAAACCTGGCACTCTCGGACTATAAGACCACTACAGTTTTATTGGACATAGTGAGACTGAGAACGTCTAAGGTGGATAGGCTTCTGAGCTGAAATGCTGACAATCCCTATTGAGGGTGAGCAGGACAGTGAGAGTCATTCCAGGGAAGAGGTGGAGAGTAAAATCAACAGCAATTCAAATGTTTTAGTGGTATGGCAAACTATACCGAGACAAATTCTAAGGCATTTGGCATGAATTAAGAAAAAAAAGAGAACATGATTCAGTAATGTCACTCCAAACAGGGGGATCTTTGTCAGGTGGGCAAATGAGTACTTCCCCTAACAGAAAACATAATGAGAACAGGCAGCCTAAAACGCTATTTAAAAAAAAATTAAATTAACCAAATCTTTCCAATACCAGACCTGGACTTCTCTGAGACATCAATGATTCAAACTAGCTCTGGCATCCTCCTCACAAGGTATAAGAAAAACTGATGGCAATTACATTGCTGAAGAAAAGGAAATTATAGGCTAGGGAGGGGACTGAAAAAGAAAAACAACAACAGTTATGAGTCAAAGCAAAAGGATCACGGAGAACCCCTTAAATGACCAAAAGAGAAAGAATGCCTACAACTCAGGAGTATTCCTAAACTGGGAATCCCTGCCTTCTTCAAACATGTTTGTCAACAAGAATCTCTCTTCGTTTTAGTCACAGAAGACAAGAGCTCAGAAGCAAGGAAATGATAAAATAAATCCCCTAACAAATGTAAACATGTATGGGTAAGTGATGAATGTCTTCATGAACGTAGTTTCTACGAAGAGTGATAAACTCTTCCTAGTGCTGGTCCTAGTGCTGAGAAATGCAAACTACTCGGGGCAGGGGCATGTATGCCCATACAGAACCCCTCGAGCATCTATTACAGTGACCTGCGAGGGCAGCATCAGTCACATGTTCCTGGCACCCGGCCTGTGCATAATATACACTAAAGCTCCATGAATGGTTACAAGACAAATAATAAATACAAGGTGACAATAAGCAGTGAAAATGTATTCTGCTAGCACAGAAAGAGGAAGTTCCAAGTGACTGAATTTTCCAGGTGCTTCATACAGGGACCACTAACGTCCTTGAAACCAAAGTAATGGTTACAGTGGACAGAGTCTGTGTTTTTTGTACAAATCAGGAGTGGAAAAATATGACTATGCAACCAAATCACTGCAACTAAAAAAAGAAAGCCACAGAATAATTTTGGTGATATTGTACTTGTTCTGGGGGTTGCCATGGAAATCTGGGAGCTAAGCAACTTCACTTTCCATATTTACCAAGTGACTCCTGCTCACTCTAATGACAATCCCTCCCCATCCCCACACCCCCCATACAAAAGGCAGGGTCTCTGTTTATCACAGAACCCAGAAGCAGGGCCAGGAATGCACATGCAGAACCAAACCAAATTCACGTGTCTCGGCAAGCCTCAATGCTCTGGCCCACTGAATACACAGAGTGGGAGGATAAATAGGAAACATAGACTTGCAAAGTCACTTTGGGGGAGGTTTCCCACCACGCATGGAAGTCTGTCAGAATACGGGCTAACATCATCTTTCCATGATGTCTGAGACTAGCTGTCAAAAAAAGGGAAGAAGAAATGTTCTTTAACAGTAGCTCATGATGCCTCACAGAGCCCTAAGGAGGGAATGTGCTCTCTACATGATCAAACAGGGAGGAAAGGGAGTTACCAGACTGATGGAAGTTCTGCAAAGACACAGGCTTTCGACAAAAAATATTAAGACAAAAGCAAAATACCCAGAGGCTTTCCCTTGCTGTGGTAGGGAGAGAGGTGTACTTTCTTCTGCTTATTAAAGTTTTGCAATGAAGTCTGTAATGTATCATCCTGACAAGATATGATGATAATAGAATGGCAGCTTAATGAATTTTGCAATAAAAAATGATGAGTGCACAGCAATTTCTGAGTTTACCATCTCTGGGAAACACCCAAGTACATGAGAAGCTTGGAATCAGACTTTCTGAAGCAATTTTTTTCTTTGTAGTTTTTGTTCCTG